AATCAGTTCGAAATGGAGAAATCACAACACAGTTTTCTAATTTTCAATTCTGCCCAAATTCCGCTCATCAGCTACGATATACAGGAAATTTGGATTTCGGATAAGTTTGGAACAGAAAAATTGGGCTGTTTTATAGAAAATCAGTTCGAAATTGAGAAATCACAACACAGTTTTCTAATTTTCAATTCTGCCCAAATTTCCGCTCATCAGCTACGATATACAGGAAATTTGGGCTGTTTTATAGAAAATCAGTTCGAAATTGAGAAATCACAACACAGTTTTCTAATTTTCAATTCTGCCCAAATTTCCGCTCATCAGCTACGATATACAGGAAATTTGGGATGTTTTATAGAAAATCAGTTCGAAATTGAGAAATCACAACACAGTTTTCTAATTTTTAATTCTGCCCAAATTTCCGCTCATCAGCTACGATATACAGGAAATTTGAATTTCGGATAAGTTTGGAACAGAAAAATTGGGCTGTTTTATAGAAAATCAGTTCGAAATTGAGAAATCACAACACAGTTTTCTAATTTTCAATTCTGCCCAAATTTCCGCTCATCAGCTACGATATACAGGAAATTTGAATTTCGGATAAGTTTGGAACAGAAAAATTGGGATGTTTTATAGAAAATCAGTTCGAAATTGAGAAATCACAACACAGTTTTCTAATTTTCAATTCTGCCCAAATTTCCGCTCATCAGCTACGATATACAGGAAATTTGAATTTCGGATAAGTTTGGAACAGAAAAATTGGGCGGTTTTATAGAAAATCAGTTCGAAATTGAGAAATCACAACACAGTTTTCTAATTTTCAATTCTGCCCAAATTTCCGCTCATCAGCTACGATATACAGGAAATTTGGGCTGTTTTATAGAAAATCAGTTCGAAATTGAGAAATCACAACACAGTTTTCTAATTTTCAATTCTGCCCAAATTTCCGCTCATCAGCTACGATATACAGGAAATTTGGATTTCGGATAAGTTTGGAACAGAAAAATTGGGCTGTTTTATAGAAAATCAGTTCGAAATTGAGAAATCACAACACAGTTTTCTAATTTTCAATTCTGCCCAAATTTCCGCTCATCAGCTACGATATACAGGAAATTTGAATTTCGGATAAGTTTGGAACATAAAAATTGGGCTGTTTTATAGAAAATCAGTTCGAAATTGATAAATCACAACACAGTTTTCTAATTTTCAATTCTGCCCAAATTTCCGCTCATCAGCTAGGATATACAGGAAATTTGAATTTCGGATAAGTTTGGAACAAAAAAATTGGGCTGTTTTATAGAAAATCATTTCGAAATTGAGAAATCACAACACTGTTGTCTAATTTTCAATTCTGCCCAAATTTCCGCTCATCAGCTACGATATACAGGAAATTTGAATTTCGGATAAGTTTGGAACAGAAAAATTGGGCTGTTTTATAGAAAATCAGTTCGAAATTGAGAAATCACAACACAGTTTTCTAATTTTCAATTCTGCCCAAATTTCCGCTCATCAGCTAGGATATACAGGAAATTTGAATTTCGGATAAGTTTGGAACAGAAAAATTGGGCGGTTTTATAGAAAATCAGTTCGAAATTGAGAAATCACAACACAGTTTTCTAATTTTCAATTCTGCCCAAATTTCCGCTCATCAGCTACGATATACAGGAAATTTGAATTTCGGATAAGTTTGGAACAGAAAAATTGGGCTGTTTTATAGAAAATCAGTTCGAAATTGAGAAATCACAACACAGTTTTCTAATTTTCAATTCTGCCCAAATTTCCGCTCATCAGCTACGATATACAGGAAATTTGGATTTCGGATAAGTTTGGAACAGAAAAATTGGGCTGTTTTATAGAAAATCAGTTCGAAATTGAGAAATCACAACACAGTTTTCTAATTTTCAATTCTGCCCAAATTTCCGCTCATCAGCTACGATATACAGGAAATTTGAATTTCGGATAAGTTTGGAACAGAAAAATTGGGCTGTTTTATAGAAAATCAGTTCGAAATTGAGAAATCACAACACAGTTTTCTAATTTTCAATTCTGCCCAAATTTCCGCTCATCAGCTACGATATACAGGAAATTTGGATTTCGGATAAGTTTGGAACAGAAAAATTGGGCTGTTTTATAGAAAATCAGTTCGAAATTGAGAAATCACAACACAGTTTTCTAATTTTCAATTCTGCCCAAATTTCCGCTCATCAGTTAGGATATACAGGAAATTTGAATTTCGGATAAGTTTGGAACAGAAAAATTGGGCGGTTTTATAGAAAATCAGTTCGAAATTGAGAAATCACAACACAGTTTTCTAATTTCA